TGCGGGCGCGTCTCGCTGCCGCACCTACGTCTCGCACCACAGCCACTCACTGGGCAGGCTGAAGATGGGCACGCCGTGCTGCGGGGCGGGCGGGCGGGCAGGGGGAGAGGAGAGAGGAGGCGGGCGGTGGCGGCGCGTGAGCCCGCAGCCAGCAGCACAACCACACACACATGCAAACAGCAAGCAGTGGACCACGCAGCCACAGCCACAGCCACGCAGCCACACAGCCACAGCCACACAGCTACAAGCACACACCACAGCCCCCCCACACACCCACCTGCGCGTAGTTGGGCAGGTCCTGGTCCAGGTTGGCCAGGGAGTTGGGATCCTTGGACAGGCCGTCGTAGATCACGCGCAGCCGGTCCCCCGCAGCCATCTGCCTGCACCAAGGGGCGCGGGCGCGGGGCGGGGGGGGCGCGGGAGGAGGGGAGGGCAGGCCGGCGCTCAGCGGGGCAGGCGGGACACAGGCGCAAAGGTGCTGCTGCCAGCACAAGCGCAGTAACAAAGTGATTCCCTTTGCCACCTGACAGTCGCATCCCTGCCCCTGCCATCAGCACCACACACACACCTACAGCAAGCACACACATGCACGCGCACGCGCACACACACACACACACACTCTCTCTCTCGCTTCACGCAGCCCCCTGGCTCCCACCTGAACCGCTCCAGGTCGATGACGTAGAGGGCTGAGATGTGGTAGGGGCGGCCCTGCAGGTGCTCCCTCCAGAAGCCCTGCAGGCAGCAGTGCAGTGGGGGCAGAGCTTTGCAGGTGGCCAGGATGGACAGAGCGGCAGGCGAGCGGACTGGCGTGGCACGGTTCCCACCGCGGCAGGCGCAGCAGGCAGAGCTCCGCAGGCGCCCTGCGCCGCCGTGTGCTGGCCCCGGGTCCCGCCACCCCGCTGCCTGCCCCCCCCGCGCTTCCCACCTGCTTCCAGAACCTGAACCCCTCCATTTCCTTGTTGTTGTCGCAGAAGGGGGTGTAGCCGTAGGGTGCGCCCTGCAGGTCCATGTGCCACAGCTCCCGCAGGTCGGCACGCACCACCTGGTCAGAGTCGCAGAAGATGACCTGCAGGGGGGAGGGTGTGGGGTGGGGCGGCGGCGGTGGTGGGGTGGTGGTGGAGGCGGGTGAAGAGCGGCGCGTTGGGGAGGTGCTGGGCAGGGTGGAGGGCAGGGGCGGGGGCAAGCAAGGGAAAAGGGCCAGCAATGCACAGGCTGCACATGGCGGGCAACCCAGCGCGCATGGCGGGCGACCCAGCGCACACACTGCCCCAGCCCCACCTTTTTTAGGCCCAGCGGGAAAAGGACGTCCAGGAAGAGGATCTTGTAGGCCCAAATGATGCGCTGCTTCTCGGTCTGCTTGTGCAGCCAGCTGGGCCACTTGTAGGTCACAAACCTGGAGGCGGGCGGCGGCGGCGGCGGTGAGCACATGGTGGGGCCCGCGTCGCGGCAGCGGTACGTGCGGTACAGTCAGGTACTCACTCGTAGTCAAAGTCGTACTTCTCGGCCATGAAGGGCACAAAGGCCTTCATCTGCGGGGGGGTGGAAAGACAGCAGGCGGGGAGGGCAGCATGAGGCGGTGGCAAGCCCAAGCTCGGCGGATGTGCCTCCCCGTGCCGCTGAGGCCACGCGCGGCCCTGCCCAGCACCTGGGGGCTCATGTAGTTTTTGATGAACCAGAACTTGACGCGCGCGGGGGTGCGCTTGATGACCGACAGGATCATGATCTTCTGGAGCCGCTCGTACCTGCAGGCAGCACGCCCGGTACGCAGGGCGTGCACGGGCAGCATGCTGGGGCCAAGGCATGGAGCTGGGGACCCTCCAGGAGGAGGGGCTGGCTCTGCCGCTGCCCCAAGGTCCACCCATGAACACCAGCAGCGCCGAAGGCAGCAGCAGGACCAGCAGGACCAGCTCACATGTGCCCCGAGGCCACGGTGAACACGTGGATGGTCTCCCGCTCGCCCTCGCCCTCGGGGGCCGGCACGCCGCCGCCGCCGCTGCCCGCCCACGACGTCACCTTGCTCCACAGCGAGCCCTTGCCTGCGCAGCCGACACAACAGTGCCGACACAACAGCGCCAGGGAAGCGGTGAGGGCTTGGGGCACATAACACAAGAAGCAAGTAGGGGCTGCCCAGTGCCCACACGCCCGGCAGGCAGCCAGGGAGGCAGGCTGCAAGGTGCCAGCGTGGCGCCAGCGAGGCGTGCAGTGCCCACCTGGCTCCCCCTCCTCCGCCTCCAGCACATCCTCGCTCAGCCTGTCGGCGTGCTTGCGCAGGAACAGGTGCATGTGCTTGCCGCCAAAGCTGCTCATGGCCACAGGAACCTACGCGGGGGGAGGGTGGGGGGCAGGGAGGAGCAGGCATGCCCGGCAGAGAGCAAACAGGGTGATCAAAAGGCAGGCAAGGGCTCTGGTGGCGGACATGGCACACCGCATGGCCAGTGCCCCACAACCCTTCCACGTCCGCTGGCGAGGAGCTGGCCGCGCACCTGGTGGGCGTCGGCGCCGGCCACCGCCGCCTCGGCGCGCTGCCCGCTGCTGGAGGCGCCTGTGGAGGAGGCCACTGAGTAGAGCTCCTGGGAGCGGCCTGCGGGGCGAAGAGTGAAAGAGCAACACACAAACACGCGTTCACGGCCGGCTGACCCACGGTGCTTGCGCAGGGCGGCGCCCGCTGGCAGCCATGCAGGTGCGGCGCCGCGCCCGGAACGAAGCAGCACACTGCTGAGCGGCAGCCAAGCCGCAGAACGAGGCGGCACCGCTGCGCGGCAGCCCAGCCGCCGCACCCGGCGCCAGCTTGAGCTTCCACAGGCCCGGCCCCGCCTTGAGCTGGAAGTAGCCCAGGTTGCTCATCACCAGCGTGTCCACCAGCGGGGGCGCGGCCTCGGGGGCGGACAGTGCCTGCAGCTGCAGCTGCACGCCACGCGGGTGGATCTGCGGGGGCGGGGAGGGGTGGGAGTGGGGAAGGGCGGCTGGCGCCGTGTGTGCTGGTGGCGCTTGGCTTGGCGCGCAAACAAACATGTGCTTCAGGGAGCTGTTAGCGGTTCCTGGCACCCTGGCACATGGCGTGGGTCGCCGATGGCCAGGCCGCCGGGCCGCCCCGCCACGTCCTCCCCAGAGCCGCAGCACCCCGTCCCCGCGCGCCCCTCCCCGCACCCGCACCTGCTCCCGCATGCGCGCCGCCAGCGAGGCCAGGTCCAGGCACATGCCGGTCAGCATGAGCGCCTCCAGCTCAAACACCGCCTCGGCGGCGGCCACCCCGGGGCCCAGCTCCTCCAGCCGCAGGTTGTCCAGGTCGGCCTCCGCCTGCACAGGCTCCACCAGCCTGTGGGGGTGGTGGTGTGTGTGTGGGGGGGGGGGGACAGCGGCATGGAGGTGTGTGTGTGTGAGAGAGAGGGAGTGTGTCTGTTGGAGCGTGCGTGAACGTGCGGCGCGCGTGTGTGGTGGTGGAGGCGTCGGCCGGACCCCATGCGCAGCCAAGCCAGACAGCAGCAGCGGCCAGGGCATGACAGCAGCAGCAGCAGCAGCCCCACCAGCAGGAGCAGCAGCAGTGGCAGCACACCACCACCACCACCACCACCAGCGCCTCCTCACCAGGGCTCCGGCTCGTCCATGCCCAGCGTCAGCACCTTGTTGGGGGGCAGGCGGGTGAAGGTGGCGGCGGCGGGCGCGGGCGGGCCGCCGTCGGGCGAGCCCAGCGTGGGCAGCGCGTATCGGTAGAAGGTTTTGAGGGGCATGTCGTGATACTCGCGCTGCGGCACAGCGGCAAGCGGGGCAAGAAGGGTGAGCGGGGCGGGGGTGCGGGCTGCGTCGCAGGGAGCGGGTGGGGTAGCGTAAGGTGGGGCGGGGTAGGCTTGGGCAAGCACGGCAGCCGGGCAGGGCGGGCCCGCGGTTGTGCCGGACCGCCTAGGGTGCAACAGGCAGCGGGGCCGTGCCAGGGTGGACCACGCCACACCAACCGCAGCTTGCCTCTGGGTTGAGCAGCAGCTGCACGTCCACGTCCAGCACGCCCCGCAGGAAGGCGAGCAGCGGGGCCAGGCGCTGCGCCGGCTTGCTCAGCGGGTTCACCACCGCCTGCACCAGCAGCGGCGCAGAGTCCGCTGGTCCCGCTGCCGCCACCCGCACAAAATTCTTCTGCACCGAGCGGCCCGAGATGAGCTCAGAGACGCGGCCGGAGCGGGCGTCCACCTGCGGGGGGATGGGGGAGTGGGGGCAGGGAGGGAGCGGGGCGGTGGCAGGTTGGTTGGTTGGCAGGTTAGGATGGAGCGGAGCGGGAGGGCCGCGGTGGGGCCGGCGCGCCGGCGGCCCGAGTCCCTGCATGGCTTGGCAGGCAGGCGACCGGGCTGCACGCGGCGCCTGGCCCACCACCCCAACCGCCGCGCTCCCTGGGGCCCCACCTCTTCGGGCTTGGCTGCCGCCAGGGCGCTGGACACCACCGCCGCCGCGGCCGACAGGTCCACGCCGCGGAGGGCGCCAAACTGCGGGGGAGGAAGGCGGGGAGGCACGGGCACGGGCGCTGAGGCGTGCAGGAGGAAGGCGCCACCGGAAGAGCAGCCAGAGCTGACGAGGGCTCAGCGCCGGCACACGCGCCTCGCAGCGCTGTGGGGACCCGCCGCCACCGCCGCCGCCGCCGCGTCCCGGGCGCACCTGGCTGGCCGACCGCACCAGCTCCGCCATGCGCTCGCTGTACTGGTTGCGCTGCGCGTACAGCTCCAGAAGCTCAAAGTCGTGAGGCTCAAACTCGGCGCCCGAGCCAGCCGCGTCGTCGCCGCCGGACGGAGGCTCGGCAGGCAGCTCCACCACCCTGCCGTTGCTGACCACGGCGTTGGCGCCGGCGCCCAGGCCCAGCGCACGCCGCACAAAGCCCGCCTGGCTGGCGGCGGCCTGCCCCAGGCTGGCGCCCAGCCCCGACAGCGCGGGCTCCAGGCGGCCCTCAAACTGCGGGGCGAGAGGCGGGAGGGTCAGGCGGCCAGCAGCCAGCGCCCGCCCACGCGGTCCGCTGACGGAGTGTTTGTTCCGGCTGGGTGCATGGCCTGCCGAGCAGCCCGCCACAGCCCGCCACAGCATGCCACCCCACCCCTCCTTCTTGCCTGCAGCAGCTCATCTAGCTGGGCCAGCGTGAGGGCTGCGGGGGCCTGGGGCTGCTGCACCACCGCATCCAGCCCATCCACAAAGTCGTTCAGGTCTGCATCATGGTGTGCGTGTGTGTGTGTGGTGGGTGGGTGGGTTGGGAGCAAGCGGGCGGACAAGAGGGAGGACAACGCCGGGAGCTGAGGGGTCAGGTCAGCAGTGGGCACACAGGCAAGGCACGAGAGACGAGGAGGATGCAAGGGAGGTGTGGGGCATGCGCCAGAGGGCGACACACGCCAAGCGCCTCCGCCACCCGTCCACCACGCACCTGTCTCCAGCAGGCCGCTGCCCACAGCCACCACCACCTTCTCAACGGGCAGCAGCTGGGCGGCGGCGTCCGCGCCCGGGGCTGCCGTGCCGGCGCCAGAGTTGACGACCACGCCCAGCCGCCCGTTGCTGCTGCGGTGCTGCAGCCCCGCGGCCACCAGCCTCAGGCCCTGCCTACTGCCAGCATCTGCTGCCACCCAGTGCGTCACCGCCGCCAGCGGCGCCGGGCCGGAGGCCTCCTCCTCCTCTGCCGCCAGGCTGGGCTGGGGCCCAAAGTAGCGGATCCACAGGCCGCCGCCGCCGCCGCCGGCTGCTGGCGGGGATGTGGCGTTCAGGCCCAGCAGCGGCCCCGCCAGCGCCAGCTGGCGAGCCTGGTACTCCTCTGCAGAGAGCCGGGGCGGCGGCAGCCACGCGGCGCATGGCGGCGAGGGTTGTGCGCCAATGTGGCCGTGTGTGCAGTGCTGGTGGCAGCGTGGACAAGGCCGGCAGCTGCTGCTGCTGCCCTGTCAGCACTCGCAGCCTCGCCGCGCACCCGCGTGGCCACGGCAACACTCAGGGAGGCCCCCAACTAACCAACCAGCCCACCTGTCTCCCCCGAGATGCGGATGTACCCAGCGGCGGCGTCCAGGGGCAGGATGCGCGGGTTGTACCGCGG